CTCTCTCTCTCTCTCTCTCTCTCTCTCTCTCTCTCTCTCTCTCTCTCTCTCTCTCTCTCTCTCTCTCTCCCCCTAAGTACATCCCTACTTCCCTCCATCCATCCATCCATCCATTTGTTAAAGGTTGCATCTCCATTTTTGGTGGGGTTGCTATGTCGCAAGCAAGATAGGAGTTGTGCACGGGCGCTATCAGAACGCATAGGTGGGGATCATGCTGTGAATGAGGAGTTGCAGGGCAAGAACAAACACGAGGGGCGTGGCAGGAGAAGAAGAAACACTAGGGGCAGGTCAGGTGCCTGATCTCTTAGGGAGGAGAAGGTCGCCGTCCAAATCTTGAGGGGATGGAGTAGCAGTATAACGAAGGTGGAGGGTGAGGATGCGGGCAAGATAGCTTTGCTGGCGTTAAGGAAGTTGTGGAGGCGGAAGATGTCAAGGAGGGTCCTGAAATAAACTGCAGGAGGATGTAAATCGGGGACCCAATTTGGAAGAAGGGGATAGGCAGCGCAGATTGCGAGGAGGCCAATTGGGATGTGGGATCGACAGAAGGAGAAGGTCAGAAACGTCAGCCAATCAGGATAAGGATGTCTGAAGACTCTGAACCAATGAAGTGTCGGAATAGGAACGCCAAGGCAACAAGTTAAGGAATGCAGGTCGTGTAGCTGTAGGCAATCCGTACAAGGTTGGGAAGAAGAGATTGCAAGGCAGCAAGAGGGCTCAGTGTGGAGGTAGGGGAACAGGTTGTACGGAGAGGAGAGAGCATGATGATCATGATAGGGTAAATGTGGATAACATGCAGGTGATGGGGAGAGAGTAACGAAGAGGGAAAGAGCGACACACAGAGCAAGAGATGAAAGGACATGCTTGATCTGCAGGGGCCAGATCGAGTAGTGAAGGAGAAGATCCCGTTCCCAGGTCATATTTCCAGTGAGCGGCCTAGAGTAATGAAGAGAGAAAGAGCGACACATAGAGAGTAAGAGATGAAAGGGCATGCTTGATCTGCAGGGGCCACATCGAGTAGTGAAGATGAAGATGCCATTCCCAAGTGAGAGAAGCAGCGAGCGGCGTCCATACGGAGAGTCGGAGACCCACGATTGCCAGATTAGGCCCATTCTGGGGCAAGAAAGAAAGAGGTGTTCAATTGTCTCACACCTATTAGCTGAGAGAATGATGGTGGAGTACCTAAGGGGGAACAGGAATAGGACCGTTCCAAGAAGGTACCAAGGTTAGGCCAGCCGGTTGGCATACAGTGCAGTTTCAAGAGAATTTTTGCACATATGTTCTCAGTGCTTTGCAGATCCGATCTCTATGTAATTTGGTGAAAGTGCATGGGTGCGAATTAGTCGAGCCTCTAAAGGGGTTGTTGTGAGGGGTAGTGGTAGGTCAATGTCAGAGGGGTGCGGTCATCCTCATCCACTCTGATGTCGTTCAATGCTGCAGTATTTTGAATTTTAAGGTTTTGTTGACACGGGAGAATGGATTTGTCCATGTTTCAGGTGGCTGGCTTGGTGAAATGATGGTGAGGGTTTAATCTACAGGTAATGATGTGAGCTGGTTGTGATGTAGCTTTTAGGTTGATGTTGGGATTGTTATTTTGGTGATTCAAAGTGGCCTATCTGTCTGCGAGAACTGTAGATGTGCTGTTTGGTTTATCGTCCTTTAGTTATTTTTTCAACTTATTTGAATATTCATGTGAGCACAAACTGTCGAAGCGAAAGTTTGAGATGGATTCTCTTTCTCCTTCAAAAAATGAAAAAAAAAAGTTAAAAAAGTTTGAGATGGATCGCTGAAAGGTCATTTGTGTTGTGTTAAGCTATGTTGTGTGAAGTTGGTCGTGATCAGAGAGTACTTTGTTGAGAATTACTCTTTAGACGAGATCGGCACATGCTTGGATGATACTGAGGAGGTGGCATGAGCTGCTATAGGCGCGATCATTCAATGTTGTCCATATTGAATACAAATGGCTCTAAAAATCATGTCTATCTCGCTGACGAGAATCCGTAGAACAACTTGTCAGAGCAGTGCATACATGGGTCACAATGAACACCATTATAGTGATGCTGGAGAAGCCTCAAGATGAAAGGTGTGAGAAGTCTCACACTCATTGATGCACAAGTGGATAGCCGATAAGTGGATAAGTGGATAAGTGGATAAGTGGATAAGTGGATAAGTGGATAAGTGGATAAGTGGATAAGTA